TTTATAAACTTTCAATCTTATGTCTTGTGATACTTATTTTAAAAATAACTATAATTTTTTAATTTAAAATTTGTCTTTAATTAATTATTATTTTTTAAGGTAAAAATATTTTTTTCTACCTTAACTATTTTCTTATACCTTAACTTTATTAACAAAGTTCTATTTTAATCTTTATCTATTTTTTTAGGGATAATATAAATAAATATATAAATTATCGCCAAATTCTTTATTTATTGAAAGGTTAAACCTCAATTTAGTCCTTAAACTAAAAAATCTATGATTTGATCCTTATTGTTTGCTGATTTATCTCCAAGTTGGTTCTTCTGTTAAAAAACAAGTCACATATCTATTACTTAATAATAAAAAATTGTTATTTAATGATCACGTGTCACGTTAATAATGAGATACGTTATATGTTTTTTTATGAAAAGATCAACTTGGAATCAAATTGATAAACAGTAGATATCAAATAATGAAATAATTTAGGGACTAAATTAAAGGTCCGTATAATAATTGAGGGATCAAATTGGGAGTTTAACCTTATTTAAAAAGTATAAAAAAATAGTTATTTTAAAAAAAGGTAAGATTTCATTTGTTAATGTTATATTGTATCATATTGTAATTATATTTTTTTATCCTTTATTATATCAAAATATATAAAATATTAATTAAAATTAATGAAATTATATTAAAATTAATTAAAATTTTAAAAATTTAAATTTTAAATAATGTATCATGTAAAAAGAGTCTCTGAAAACAATAATAAACGAAACCTTATATCTAAGCTAATTATTTGAAGAAAAGGACAAAATTAAAGAGAAATGACGGACGCGTTGCTTCGTGCGCTATTTAGGTGCCTTTTCATTCAACACCCTACCTTGTTGGCTTGTTCTAGATGGTTGTGGATCTCATTGACCATTGCCCTTGAAAACACTTTTTTCTGTTAATTTTAAACTAAAAAAGTATTGTGTAATTTTTTTTTATAAGAAGTGTTGTGCATAATTTAAATTACTAAATGAAAGATTAACCTTTTAATAGTTTTCATGATTTATTTTATACATAATTTATTATATACCAAATTACAAAATAAAAAATTCATTTAAATTGGGTGATTTTTTTGCCCAAAAATTGTTATTAATTGAGCTTTGTCAACTACTAATAAAAAAAATTGTCAAGAGCTCCAAAAAGGCGAAAAAATGCATGAACTCAACAGGGTGGGGTAGACATGAATCATTATCCACTACAGTAGGGCACCCGCCATTTACTAAAAACCAACTGGGCTTGCAGTTGTACAATTCAGGTCCAACTCATGAGAAAGTCTACTATGTCACGACGACAGCACATAATATGTGTCTCAAACCTTGACATGTAATCATTTGTGGGCCACAAAACACTCAACGTAATGTGGCTTCCTTCTCCTTTTTCTGCCATTTGCTTTCCTACATCCTTCTCCTTTTTGTGTTCCACCTCCACTGAGATACTTATAGGCCACCTTAATCTCCTTTTTTTCAAGCTTAATACATCAAATTAATTTGTAAATCTATCAGCCAGCTCCATCAATTTCTCTCTAAATCTTCATTCTAGGCAAGAAGAAGATGCATAAAACTTGGGTAATTTACTGATGGTTTGGAGTCATCCAAATTAAAGTGGAAATCATTTTTATGTTAACTTTATTTTTTGGGTAATGCTCAATGCTAACTCCGAAATTCCAACAGTGGTGTCTATATTCCCACCTCCCATATATTATCCCTACCCAACTGAAGTCCAGTGGCATGAAATATCTTAGATAAATGCAGGGACTAGCTTTTACATGGTCGGTAGAGACCCTGCTGTTATGGACCATTAATTTGAGAAAGAGATTCACATGATGCTTGATAATGGAACAAGGTATATATTAAGCCCGGTTCTAGGACTTAAATGGTTAAACATCCTTTCTTTTAAGGTACACATAATATTTCGGATTCATTGTGTAGGCTGAAATTATAGCATTACTCTGCCACATAAATAAATGAAATCGTTGATCCTTACCAATTAATTTTTATTCAGGTTGCTGCATTTGATAAGAACAAGAGTAATTGACATTATTTGATTCAATAAGGTGTTAAGCCACATGACAAGATCCGATATTTATAATGTACGTGCATGTGAGGGGGCATGTTAAATGGGAAAATCCCACATCAAGTATTAAAGTAAGAAATTTGTGGGTTAAATACAAAGAAAGTCACTCCACCTATCGCCAATTGATTTTAGGTTGAATACAAGCCTTATATTGAACCCACATGCATAAAGCTCAGATTCTACCCTAGAAACCTGTTGTTAGCCCAACTCACGCCCAACCCACTTGATAGGACCTGTGCTCAAGTTTTATATTGAACTCACATGCACAATTATAAAGGTTCAAAACTTCTTCATATTGGGCACCAAGGTACCTTTTCTCCATCTACTCCTGAGATTCATAGTGCTTTAGCGGTTGGGAAGTGCTTATCAAATGTTACAATAGTAAATTATTCATCTCTACGGCATGTTGCATATTGATTTTTGACAATGCTTTTGATTACATTCAAGCAAAAATAAAACATGTTGAACTATCCATGTCAAAAGAATCAGGTTATTTTATAATATGTAAGAAACATATCATATATAATCTACACAAATAGGATGGAGGAGAATGCGAATCAAATTACAAGATATCTATGCAGAAATTTAAAAAATGAATGAATTATAGTCTATACAGACAAAAAGGAGAAATTTGAAACAAATTACAAGATATGCATGTAGAAATTTCATGAATTAATGAAATAATATTGAAATTTGGAAGTATTATGTGTGTTTCTTCCACTTGAGATAGCTGAAAACAGGTCTCTCTGGCACTGGTATGCACTTGACGATCCAGCCAACGGGCCAAGAGACAGCAGCCATGGCGATGCAGATGCCCCATTGTCTCCAATTCAACCTCTCTTTACCTGCAAACCACTTTAGAAACTCCACCATCACCACTTGAAGAACAATGGTCATCCCGACTATCCTTAAAAACAGCTTGTCCTTATGAATACCCTTGAACACATTCTTCTTCTCCAGCTCCCTTGCGTTGAATTCATTGAAAACTTGGCAGAGCACAAAAGTGTTGAAGATCATGGTGTCATTCACTGCTTTAGTCACACTGAAGATTGATTGTCCTCTGAATTGTAGGATCAAGACTACTGCAACCTGGTAAAAAGCTTGAGCTAAGAGGTTCCTCCACATGATATTGGTAATCAGTGGCTCTGTGCGGCCAACAGGTGGCTTCTTCATCAACTCCTTGGTGGGCTTCTCTGTAGCCAAAGCCAAAGCACCCAATGTGTCCATGATCAAGTTCACCCACAAAAACTGAACGGTCGTTAGATGAACTTCTCCTGCAGAAATGGTTGCCATGAACTTGATCACCAGAGCGGCGACATTTACTGTCAACTGGAATTGAATGAATTTCTGTATGTTGGTGTAAACACATCTACCCCACTTCAGAGCGGTGGCCACGGAAGCAAATTTGTCATCCAAGATGACAATATCGGAGCTCTCTTTCGCAATTTTCGATCCTTGAATTCCCATTGACAATCCAATGTCAGCTTCTTTGAGTGCTGGAGCATCATCGGTACCATCCCCAGTGACTGCAACTACATGCCCTTTCTCTTTCAAGCATTGTACCATGAGAAGTTTGTCAAAAGGAGACGATCTTGCCATAACGCATATCTTCTCCACCTTCTCCATCCTCTCTTTTGGGGTATAGCTTCGGAATTCCTCGCCTTCCACAACGACTCCACTATCCATGTCCTGACTCGGTCGAAGAATCCCACATTCAGTGGCAATAGCTCTTGCTGTGAAGACATTGTCGCCAGTAATCATCTTGATGTTCACTCCGGCAGACTGACAGGCCTCCACCGCCTTCTTCACCCCTGACTGACATGGACCCTTGATACCTACAAGTCCCAACAAGGTCAAGTTTTCCTCTTTAAGCTTTTTCTTCTCTTTCACATTTTCTTCCTCTGTTTCTGCAACTTGTTTGTGAGCAAAAGCAATGCACTGGAGACTGCTTGCCTCCATTCCCTGAATAATTTTCTTGAATTCCATCCTTTCTTCTCCATTAAGATCTTTCAGAACTCCTGAAGCATCATAGTAGCTTGAGCACATAGCCAGAATCATTTCTGCTACTCCTTTCCAATGAACATAAATTGTGTTATCTTCATTTTTCTTGATCAAAACTCCAACCCTTTTCTTTTGAGAATTGAACGCTTCCACAAAGAGAATTGTGAAATTCCTCTTCATTTCCTCCATATCCATCCTCATCTCCTGAACAGCCCAAGAAAGAATTGCCTTTTCCATTGGACTTCCAGAGAATTCAAATCTCGACCCTGAAGAACCTCTGTAAACACTTCCGGTTGTGTTCAGAGAAACTCCTTGATGAATCAAGTTAACAACAAATGAAGAAATTGAAGAAGAAGCTTCATCCATGGTTTCCTTCCCCAGCCAAAACTTTGTAACCTTCATCAGATTAAGTGTAAGAGTACCTGCTTTGCCAGTGCAAATTGTGGTGGCAGACCCCATAGTTTCACAGGCGGAAAGCTTTCGGACCATCGCCTGATCCGCCATCATTTTCTTCATTGAATAAGCCAAAGTCAGCGTAACGGCCAACGGTAACCCTTCTAGGATAGCAACAACGACGATTTTAACGGCACAAGCAACTATCCCCACCACAGTATCTATTATATCATCGGTGTTTGTGCTGCTTCCATTGAACTCTGTATTTCCATTCTCATCTGTTGTGTTGCCGGTCAAGTAACGAACCAACAAAACTACATGAACCAAGAAAACCACTGCCAAACCGACCATACCTATTGCCAACGTTAGCTTGTTTAACCGGACTTGTAGTGGCGTCTGCTCGTTTTTATCGCTCGTCACGTGGCTCATCATCTGGCCCCAGGTCGTGTTCATTCCAATAGAAGTGACAAGCATCTGGGCGTACCCATCAACCACCTTGGTACCAGAAATCAAGAACGGATTTTTCTTTGAATTCACCTTAACATGGTCGCTCTCCCCTGTCATGCTGGATTCATCTGTCTGCAGAGAATGTCCATCCAAGAACAACCCATCAGCTGGAACCTGATCCCCGATTTTCAGGCAAACAATATCTCCGACCACGATATCAAATATTGAAATCTGTTGCCGCCTGCCGCCTCTGATGACATCAATTTGGATGTTGTTGCTGACTCTAGACAATTTATCAAACTCTCTGTTCTGTCTGTAGTTGCTGATAGCAGAGACGCTAATGACCAGAAAAACAGCCACGAAAATACTCCCACCATCGTACCAACCGTCTTTCAAGCCATGCTCCTTGATGCCAAAACCAAGAGAAAGTGCGGCGCAGCCGAGCAGGATCAAAATTATGAGATCTTTGAAAGCCTCCAGCACAAAATGAAAGAAACGCTTTGATGGTGGTTTTTTGTAGGTGTTAGAACCAAATGCCTCATGTCGGTGAGCAATGTCCTCAGCACCGCCATTGATTCCACTATCCGGGCTGGTTTGAAGGGAAGAAGCCACCCCATTCACCCCGCCAAGTATCTGAAGCTTCCCAAGCTTTTTCTCCTTCACAATGTCGGTGAGAGTGGTCTCATCAATTTTGAAACAACCATTTTCTGGAGGAATTGTAAGACAGACATGATCAGGAATGGGCGAAACCTTGGAATTATGATTCCTGACGACCGAAAACAGAATTCTTGAGCAGTAGATCGTGCCAAAAGCCAAATGCCATTTTTTGCTGTATTTATTGAGGGAGGTAGGCCGAGTATTGAGCAAATGCTCGGTGCAGATTATGCGTGCTTTGTTGAGAATAGCAGTCATGAATATAGGTAAGCAAAGAATAATAATAATGTGTGTGTATATATATATATATATATATGACGAAAGAAGAAGGAAAAAAATTCCTTTTTGCAAAAACAAAGAGCAAGAATCAAATAGCAACAGGGTATGAAGGTGGTGGATAATTTGAAGGAATAATAGAATGTGTATTATATCATTTATATACTTCTTAAAAGATCCTTGTTTTTTCATCTTAAAGCTATGGAAGGAAGCTGCATTCCTGGTTCCTGAAAAACGCTTATGAAAAGGAATTGAGCAGAAAATCTCAGTAAGTTTCCTACCGTTTACAGATATGAGATATGAATGGATGCGCCGTACGGATTTTTTTTTTAATGGAGACGCGTGTGGGTTGCGTTCATTTTTTGAGCTCAAAGATGCTGACATACAAGCCTTCGCGTAGCGCCGGCATGGTGGAAGAGGGTTTTTTTTATTCCTTTTTTCTTTTTCTTTAATGTTGACCAGTGGTGCAAAAATGCAAAATGATGTTATTTTCTTTCTTTTTGTCAGCAATAATGACGTTATTTTCTCTTTTACCACTATCGTCAGTGACGTTATGTATTCTGAAAAGATTCAGAAGGAAATGCATTGTTTAAAGGCAGAACCTGCATATTCTCCTTCAAATTGTCCTGTCAAAGGAAATTATTATTAAAAAAATATTAATATAATTTATTTTTTAAAATTAATTTAAATTTAATAATTAT